ATTTTCTTCTAATCTGCTTTGCTCTGTTTTGTTATATTTAGTTTTACCCTCTTTAAAATTAAAAAAAAAGAAAGAAATACCAGGGACTTGCTTATGAGGCTAATTATAAAGTCACAGCTCCCAAGGACACTTTACTGCAAATAGCTGTTCATATCACGTGACTCTTCTGCTACTGTGGTTGGTTAAAATGTACTTGTTAATAGGCTGTCTAGTTAGTTTTATGTTAGGTAAGTAAAGATGTTGGACTTCTGGATTTTAAGGTTTCACAGAAAGCAGATTAATCAGTCTTTAAAAGTAAGCTCTGGCACCTGCTAAAACCTTGAGGACACAATGCTAAGTGAAATAAGCCAATCACAAAAGGACAAATACACTATGATTTCACTTATATGAGGTCAAATTCATGGAGACATGGAGCTGAACAGTGGTTTCCTGAGGCTAGGCGTGAGGAGCCGGTGATGGGGAGTTACTGATTAATGGGGCAGAGTAGAAAGATGAAAAGTCTTGGAGATGGGACTGTGGTGACGGTAATACCACACTGCACTGGAATTAAACTTAGGGAGCACTGACATATGTCTGGCCTTTTATTTTCCACTTTGAGACAAGAATGAAAACATTATACTTTCCCCATTAAGCAGTCTTGTCATTTTTGTTGAAAAATCAGTTGGCGACAGATACAAGAGTTTATTTCTGGATTCTTAATTCTATCCCATTGATCTGTATGTTTGTCCTTATGCCTGTACTACACAGTCTTGACGAATGTAGCTTTGTAGTTAAGTTTTGAAATAGGGAATCCAGTTTTACTGTAGCTTTCCAAGATTATTTTCACTACTTTGCATTTTCTTCTGAATTTTAGGATCAGTTTAAGATGCCTGTTTTAGAAATCCAGCTGGGATTTTGATAGAATCTGTGTTGAATCTATAGATCAATTTGGGGAGCACGGCCATCTTTATGGCCTCAAGTCTTCTACTCAATGAACATGGAATGTCTTTCCATTCTACAAACTCTTCTTAAATTCCTTTCAGTGATGTTTTACAGTCTTCAGAGTACAATTTGCACTTTTATTAAATTTAGCCCTAAGTACTTTATTCTTTGCTTTAAAACCAAGCAAAATAAAACAGAATAAAATGAATCAAAACAAATTTCTGGTAAGCAGCTACAGTGTGGCAGACTGCAGCCCTTCCAGGGGGAGAACCACAAGCGGCTCCTGAGATCCACGTCATGTTGGAACTTAGGACCTGGGAAACCAAGCAAGCAGCTCCCCTCCCTGGGAAGCAGCAGTGGTGTGGCAGACGATGGCCCCTCCAGGGGGAGAACCAGCAGTGTCTTCTGAGATCCACACCACGTTGGAACTTAGGATGTTGGAAACCAAGCAACCAGCCTGCCGCCCTGCTAAGCAGTAGTGAACCTACTGGTGCACAGCCTAGAGTCAAACATCCCGCTTCTCCTACCCACCTTCTCCTGTCCTCCAGTTAGCAAATGGGAACCAGAAATCTGATCATCTCTTGGGAGGTTGATTATAGTAAATAAGGGGGATTCCTTCTACCATCTCTTTGAAGGCAAATATTTTTATTAGTTTTGCTCTATCCTGATTAATGGTACTGCTCTATTCAATATTCTGTTTTGATAAGTTCTATAATGTTCTGTATTTCATTTTATTTTGATATACGTGATTGAAAGAACAACTATTGTAAAGATAATGAAATATACTGTGATACCTATTACTGTTATCCTGGTAACCTGCTGTTAAGTTCTGTACCAATTTTACTACATGGTCTCAGTTGGCTTTACTCTGTCTTGTTCTGTTGTATTTTACCACTTAAAAAAAAAATCAGTGTAAGTGACACAGGACTTCAAAACAACAATAAATCAAGAGTGGTTACCATAATGCCTCTTGTTGTCTTTAAATAGCTGCAGATAACTTCAGACACAGTAATCAAACAGAACAGAATAGAACAGAACCAATAAAAACAAAACAATGAATGCAATAAAGGACTTCAAAAAAAATAATAACAAATCCAAAATGGCTACCTTAATATATCTTGTTATTTTTTAAATAGCTACCCATGCCATCAGATATAATAAAATCAAACAAGATAAAACAGACTAAAACCCAACCCAACAAAAGAATGAAAATGATACAAGACTTCAAAACAAGATAATAGGGAATTAACAATGGCTACCATCTTCAGAAGGGGATCCCCCATAGGTGCTACATTGCATATTGCTATCCTCTAAATAGATGATCAGACGACCGGCCTTAGATTTTCAGTCAGTGAAACACTAAACACTACAAGCATTAAATTGTATTTTACCTTAATAGCTATCATGGTAGCCTGTGTTTCTCTAGATCAGCCAGTCACATATGGCGGTGTGTGTGTGTGTGTGTGTGTGTGTGTGTGTGTGTGGCTCTTCTTGTTTACCAACCCACCAGTCAGAAGGGGTTGACATCTAGCTCTTCCCCTCAGTGGCTCACGCATGTCACCAATCCACAGGGAAGGCTTGCTTTTTGGTGACTTCTTATTCTCTTCCCATGCAGTCTGCAAATGGAACTGACTCATGGGAAAAGGCTAACATCTGGCTGTCCCCCAGTGGTCTGCACATGATGCCAATTCACAGGGAGGGCTTATTCTTTTTGATTCTATTGCAAATGAAACTATCTTTTAATTTCATATTCAGATTGCTCATTGCTAAGTGTGTAGAAATACAATTTTTTTGTATATTGATCTTGTATCCTGTAATCTTTCTTGAACTTGTTTATAAGTTCTAGTTGACTTTTTTTAAAAGTGAAATCCTTGAGATGCCAAGTATGACATCATGTCACCTAGAAAGAGTTTTACTTCTTTCTTTCCAATCACATATCTTTTCTCTTTTATCTCTTATATCAAGTTTCACTGACTAGAACCGCCTACACAAGGTAAAGTTAAGTGGCGAGAGAGGACATCTTTCTCTTGCTCCTAATCTTCCAGGGAAACTATCTCATCTTTCACCATTCAATATAGTGGCTGTGGTTTTAATACTCTTTATCAAGTAGAAAAGGCCCATTCCACTCCCACTTTGAGGAATATTTTTACCATGAAAAGCATATTGGATTTTATCAAATACTTTTACCTGTATCACTGAGTTTAATTTTTAATTAAATAAAATAATACAATATTTTCTTTATAAAAACACATGTATATAAGGCCAGAGTCTCCCTAGTTCTTTCTCAGCTATCCCAAAGTACCAATGTTGCTACACTGCTGTTTCCTTTCAAATATTTTCCTGTAGATATGTGTGGATGCACATGCTAAAATATATAATACGGTGTATCAAAAACAGCATAATATACATGAGCTGCTTCCTCCCCTCCCCCTCCTCGGGATGCCTCTGGCCCTAGTTTACATGCTAGTGCCCACATTTCCTTTAAGGTTGAGGTCAGATCCTGCTTTTCTATAGTCCCATTCAGGGTCTTCTCATCTATTAACTATCTTTTCCTTCTAGTTATCTTAGGATCCTTCTTCTTTCCTCGGTTCCCCCTCAGTTATGATTTTTAGCACGGGAAAGGTTTGGATTTGAAGAGCTGCAACTTCCATACAGTAAACACTGATCCCTTAAACATATTCTGTGCTTTGAGAAACATTTCTAGCTACTGTATGATGGTCTTAGTTATTTTCTGCATTGTTGAGACAAAACACTCAACATCCAAAGTTAAAATAAGAAGTATTTATGCTAGCTCACAGTTTTTAGAGGTTTCAGTCCACAGTCAGATGGCTCCGAGGTGGGATAGCAGAGGGGCACCAGCTCACAGAGTGGCAGGGCAGGCAGAAGGCACCACGCAGCAAGCAGCCAGCCAGCCTTCTCTCTCCCCCTTTATATTCCATCCAGGCTACAAGCCTACTGATAGTGTCACCCATACCCAGGGTAGGCTTCCATTATCACAACTAGAACTATGATAAGCCAGCTTGGTTATCATATACTTTTTTTAAAAGACTTTTTAATTTTAATAAGAAAGAACAATAAAAATGATGGAGAATTTCAAAACAAGGTAATAGGAAATTAACTGGTTAATATATTATGTATTGGTATCTTCAAAGTAGTTACTCAGATTACAAGACATAAGCATGCAAAGCTGATCAAACTATGCAAGTACAAACTGTTCTTTCCAATGAATTAATAGAATTAGTACAATTATCTTAGCTATTATATTGTTTTCCCTTCCCTTCTTTTCTCCTTTCCTCCTTCCCAGTTGTTCTTTCCTTTTGAGCAATTTCTTTCCCTTTCACTATATCTGTTATGCATCATACACTCTTAATTCCAGTATCACACACCTTTGATCATGCCACCTGCCCAAAGTTTCATCTAGGAGTGCCTGAAGCTTTGAGGGGACATTCAGACACAAGCCGTAACAGTGATGATGGCCTATAGTCTAGTTCCATGTTGAGCTATTATCACATCTTTTTAAGTGACAGTGTTTGTTGGTATGATGAGCTGAATTCATCTGTTTTACAGACTGTTTTTTACACTGGGCTTATGGGAAATAATGAGAATGGGCCCCAAAACCCTTGTATGTAGAAAGATGGGGCAGGAGGATCTTATATTTAAGAGAGAACAGTTACCCTCATTCTGTAGCATATCAGTTACATGTTGAGCTTCTGGGACTGTCCCAGTAATGTGAAAATGATTGTAATTTACTTTTAATGATAATTAATAATAATTCAAGATAAATTTATAATTCAAGAAATTCTTTTTTTTTTTTTTTTGTCTTTTTCCTTTTTATCAGTACCAGGGATCGAACTCACGACTGCCCGCTTACAAGGCAGGCGCTTATACCACTGAGCTGAATCCCCAGCCCCAATTCAAGAAATTCTAAACCAGTCTTTAACATATAAGTTACAAAGAAGCCTGTTTTCGAGGTCTGGATGTGAGCTGTTATATCCTTTATCCCAAACCTACTGGAAGGGCCTTCTATGTCATAGACATTCACTATCAAGCCACAGGCCACACCTGTACATGACCCTTACCAGGTAGCCTCTCCAGAAGGACTGTATGATAATCGCTGCTTCCTCTTCTGTCAGTAGGAGGGAGAGTGGGATTGGTGGTCGTGGGCTGAAAAGCAATAAAATGGTAATATGTTCATGAGATCCCATCCTTCAACCCCAGAAATTCCTCTGATAAAACAGGCTTTCTAATTAAGAGCTTCATTCATCACCATTTTTAGAAAGCAACAATATCAGTTTTGAAAGAGAAGTATATTTTAGAGTTAGCAGGTTTATACCAAAATTTGGCATTCTTTTTAAAGCTAACATAATCCCAAATTACCATTAGTCTTATTCTCTTCTGTCAAAGGACTAAGATTGCTTGTAAGTTCTGCAGGTGCAACATACATGCGATCAACACAGGACTATGTGGACATCATGTCAGAGTCAGAGGAAACAGCCTTTATGAACTACATGAGGACTGAAATCATAAAGTAGTTCATAAAGGCTCTTTTTCCCATTTTTTCCTGGAGAGAAGTTCACAAGTTCATCTCTTTCTAGAAAGCAAAATACTAAAATTTATGTCTAATTAGTGTGCATTTCAGGTTAATATAGTTTAAGTATATTTTTAAGTTCTGCTCTTATATCTTATTAAGCAACAAAGTAGTGAGTCATTTGACAGTGTTCTTATGGGATTTTTAGATTGTCATGAAAGTTAATTATAATTTTTAATTATGATTTTTAAAAAAATTATAGATACATTAAAATCATGATTATATGCTTTTGCTTTCCTTTAAAGGTTTAATGGATACTAAGGAGGCTAAGCAGGAGGAATACTGTGAGTCTGAGGCCAGCCTGGGCCACAAAGTGAGTTCAAGGCCAACCTAAACTACATAGTGAAATGCTGTCTCAAAAGCAAAAAGTTTAATGGAGACACGAAAAACTGACAAGTGCTTATAAGTTTGTATTAATCCTGATTCTTTATGTGTGCCCAAAACAAAGCACAGCTACCTCCCAAAAGCAAGGGGAAAAACTTTTCAGACTACAAAAGAATAAATCCCTGAAAGGATGTGTATCACATGGAGGCCACTTCTAGGACAGGATCTTCAAAATTGACCCTGAAAGTGTGAAATTCCCAAGTGTCCCTGGCCCCAGAACTCTCTCTAATGACAGCTAGAGCTGACAGTAACTCTCTTTGTGCATAGTCTGACTAATCTGCTCAAGGTCACATCTGGTAAGTGACCTAGCCAGGATCAGGGTCCAGGCTTCCCTCACAATGGTGTGCAGACGCCCTCACCTCAACCAGGCAAACCCTCACAGGTAACCAGTCTGGAACAGCTTGCAAAGGCAACTGGCAGTAGTGCATGACTCTGAGGATTTTATTTCCCTTCTAACTTTGACTTAAGAAAGACAGACAGACAGAAAGAAAAAGAAAGGAAAAAACCTCAAGACAGTATATTTGTTTGAATGAATGACTGTGCTTTTGAACTTATTCCAGAATCAAAGAAATCAAAGCCAGGAAGCACAGAGGGTTATCAAGACTATATCTAGAGCTGGTGCCAGCTCTGGTTCTCCAGCCAGACAGGTCCTTTCTAAGAGATGAGTACAGGGGAGTCTTCTACTTCTTTGCAGAGATAATTATACCCTCAAAATGATAGCATTGTTAGGAATCCTTCCCTAATGTTCAGTTTCCACTTTTATTCACATAATCTGGTGGCTTTTTTGGGGGGCTGTTTTGTATTTCCCTCTCTTTGCCTTATTAATAACTTGTTTCTGGCTCTGGTGGAACAGTCTTCTTCAGCTGTAGGCCTGCTCCTGGAGGTGCTATGACTCCCCGAGCTCCACACTAAATATCTTTCCTCTTCATTGTTTCATTGTCCTTACTCTGGAAGTCTCAGTGATGTGGCACCAACAAATCAATCCCTGAAGTAATTTCTCCTTGCTAGTTAAAACTCAGCAGCTTCTAGAGAAACCTTGGTATTTTGAGAATTTGGTGTGCTGACAGTGAATTTATAAAAATAATGAATTAGCTGGTGTTCACTTAGTACTTTCTGGATACCCTTATCACGAGCTTGCACTTTTGTGCCACAGCCAGGCTGGGCCTTTTCATCTCCTCACATGGCCCATTCTCCCTGCCTCCCATTTCAGGGCCCTTGCAAAGGTATTTTCCTTGCCTTTCAACCCAAACCCTCTGCCTCCAGCAAGGGGCAGCTATGCAGCTGCACAGATTATACTCTGCTCAAGGGCACTCAGCAGGACAGACGGCTTTACACCTTGGCCCATATTCTGCACCCTCTGCTTTGCCCTAAAGTAAGAACACTTTTATTTGCTCAAATGCACCATAGGGCAGGCAAGGGGATGGGGTTTGATACTTCATTTTCCTAGATCACACTTATTCTTCTTCTGATTGCCATTAAAATGTTACTTAAAATGTCTTCTGATTAGGTCAGGGATGAAGTTTTGCAATTTTTCATCCTACTTTTCTTCATAGTCTGGTCAAATTTGGAGATACAAGTCCATGTGATTACCCAACTGATGACCAAATCTTTCCTTGACTTGAAAGCTCCATGAAGGCAAACACTGGCCCTGGGTTTGCTCCTCTTGGTACAGCAGGCATGTAGGACAATTTCAGCATGTAAATACCTGAGTAATGAGTAGCTGTCTCTATGCCTGGCCATGTGCTAAGTGCGATTTCATCAGATCTCCACAACAGCAAAAATGGGCTATTGTTTTTCTCCCTTTAAGGTTGAAAATGCTGAGGCATAGAGGGGTAAAGGGACTCATTCGATGCCACTGTTTCCTGCTGAGACCACAAACTCCCTAGGAAACAGGGAAGTGATCAGCTCCCAAGGTCATGAACACAGAAGTCAGGATCCAGCAGCTGTTGGGTGCTAACTGGATGAAAACACAGTTATTTGCCTAGAAGAAAGAAAACGGGAGGTGTGTGCCATGATCACAGAAAATGCCCTTTTTATTGAGCCAGACAATATCCACTTGGCATTTCAGACACTCGGTTGTCTGACTCTCCACAGGGCAGTCCTATGTCAGCAAGGCTAAATACAGTAAGTTTGTCACTTACATCTGAGGGGACATTTGATGAGGTTTTTCTCTTCAACTGTAATTTTCCTGCCTTTAGTGTGTTTCTGACTGCAGATGTCGTAATGTGCTCAGAATAATAGTATTCCTGCATGGGAATAGCAGGAGGAAAGTGGAACTGTGATTCTGAGGACACAAAGCTGGATAAGCCAACAAAGTCCTTTGGCCAGTAATGAAACCCTGAACCACTCTGCATCACAATTACATCTCCAAAAAGCAAAATGAGTGTCCTATTAGGCCTTTAAGGCAGTAATATGAAGCCATCTTTAGTGACATCCTTGCTTTCATAGCTAAATAATGTGGCACTGTCTAGTTCACAAACAAGAGTAAGTATGAGAAAGCCAGTGTCTATTAGGCTAAACAGACTTAAGTCTTTAGAGAATTTTCCCTGGGAATCATCAATCATTTCAGCAGACCAATTTGAAAGGAAAGAAGCCACACCAGGCCCTTTTCTCTGTTCGGGAAACAGTGCAACTGGTTTCAGGTCAAATAAAAATAAAGAGGCAAGCACTCATCACTGGGGAACTGGGGAGAGAAGAGGAGACCAACCTGTCAATTACAGGAGAAGGCAGCTGAAGCTCCTCAGGGGCTGAAAATGGACATCCCCAGAGCAGATCTTTTTGTGCATCTGATCAGGCACCACAGTGTGCTGAATCTGTTTCCAAGGAGCCTTGTTTTATTAGTAATGCTCATCTGTCATGTCTTTCTCTCCCCTTCCCTTAAATGTGACTTACATATATATGAACCATAAGAATCAATCCTATAATTCTGAAAAGGAATAGAAATTAATTTTTCTGATGGTGTGTGTTTACAGACATGTGTATACGCACACTCTCATCTCTTTTTGGGTGCCAGTTAAAATATTTGTAGAGCATAAAGAAGACCTGCTTACAAAATATACAGTAAAAAAATTTGAGAAGTTGGTCTTCATGAATTTCTTTACCTAGTTATAGCACACTTAAAGAAGTATCATCAATAAAGAAAGTAGAAAGCAGAAAAGCTTGTTTGCTATTGAAAATAGAGTTTCATACAAATGGCAAATAAATATATGAAACAATGTCCAACATCACTGGTCATTTGAGAAATACAAATTAAAACAACACTGAGATAACACCTCACTCCAAAAAGAATGGCTGACATCAGGAAATTAACCAATAACAAATGCTGGCAGGACTGTGGGGGAAAAGGAACCCTTCTCCACTATCAGTGGGAATGCAGACTGGTGCAATCACTATGGAAATCAGTGTGGAAATTCCTCAAAAAACTAATATTAGAGATTCCATTTGACTGAGCTATTCCCCTTCTTGGTATCTTTCTAAAACAAATGAAAACATCATACCACAATGACATATGTGCACCCATGTTATGGTTGCACAATTTGTAATAGCCAGATCTTGGAAACAACCCAAATGCGCATCAACTGAGGAATGCATAAAAAAGATGTATTTTTGTACAATGGAATACTACTCAAGACATAAAGAATGATAAACTCGAAGCTTTTGTAGGTAAATGGATGCAACTAGAAACCATACTCGTAAGTAAAATAAATCAGACTTGCATGTATAAACACCAGATTGTCTCACAGTGTAAGAAACTGAAAGAGTGAATAAGATCCAAAAGTTACAATAGATATAGTAAAAGGGAAAGAAACTGCTCAAAGGGAAATTATATTGTTTGATCAATCTTGCATGCCTGTATCTGGTAACCTGAGCAACCATTCTGAAGATAACAGTATGAAATATAACAACCACTGTTAAATTCCTGTCATCTTGTTTTGAAATCCTGTATCGCTATTGTTTGTTATTTGTTGTCATTTTGCTTTTGTTGTTTTTGGTTTGCTTATTGATTTTTTTCTTTTTAAAATAAAAAAAAGAAGATTGAATTTCAGAACGCAAATTCTATCTACTTTTCATTAGGTAAGAGATTGAGTAGTTTTCTTTGAACATGAAAGCACAAACTCTACAGATGTAAAGCCATTTACAAAGCTGGCATGGGCCCTGCATCAATCATCCTAAAGTCTTCATTTCTAGTCCT